CCAAAGTCCAGACCACGGGCTCGTGGAGGCCTGAATGAGGTGTGTGTCTTGCTTCTCAAAGCTAATGAAGATAAGATGGTCGCTGCCAGCTGGCAGTGCCAGTTAATTATTCTTATTAGTGTTAACACTGCTCATACTGATAGTAGTAACAACCATCACAGTATCCCACGCTTGGTTATTTCACTAGGGCTCAGGAATTACACCACATTCTCTCCCACTGAGGCGTGGGTTCATGCTCTCTCCCTGGAACATATGGATCCATAAAGAGGCAGCTGTCAATGGTTCAACATGATGACGAGACACAGCATGCACATTAGGCATTCTGAGTTCTGCTCTTACAAAGCTAATTACGTGATCTAGTTTTAAAAACTGAACAACGGGGGCCGGCCTGGTGACGCAACAGTTAAGTTCACGTGCTCCACTTCAGCGGCCTGGGGTTCACCGGTTTGGATCCCGGGTGAGGACCTACACACCACTTATCAAGCCATGCTGTGGCAGATGTCCCACATAAAAGAGAGGAAGACTGGCACAGGGCCAATCTTCCTCAGCAAAAAGAAGAGGATTAGCGGCAGATGTTAGCTCAGGGCCATTCTTCCTCAGCAAAAAGGGGAGGATTAGCGGCAGATGTTAGCTCAGAGCTAATCTTCCTAAAAAAAAAAAAGAAAAACAACTGAGCAACAATGTAGGAGGCCAGTCAAAAAGTAAGTATTTTGCCTGGAGTTTCTTCTAGGCAGAAAGGTCAGAGATCCCAGCATGGGTCAGTGCCCTCACCATCCACGGCACATCCACCTTAACCATCCAGCCTGCCCTAATGCCCAAAATCCTTAAGATCTTTCTCAGTTTTTATATTAGCAAACATTTACCGATTTCCACAGCACGCAGTATCCCTGAGCATAATTTAGACAAGAGATCATCAAATAATCTCCTTGAAGTTATACGAAGAAAGGCAGTCTACATGTGGTCACAAAATTGAATTTGAGCGTGAGATGCCCCTTCTCACCTTGAGTGAGGAAATTTATTTCCTAAGAACTTGTGCTATCTTGGCTGAGCCAATTCCATCAGATTGGACACCAACATGCTCGTCAGGGTACCCAGCACACGCCATCCTCAATCCTTCCCAGAAGCTTAAGTTATGCAGGCAAGGGATTTTTTTTTGTAAGTCCAGATCCCCAAAGAAAGATTCCTGGCAGGATAAAGGCCCTGTCAGATGTGTTTTAAAAAATGAGTACCCTTGATAGGAAAAAATGCATCTCCTTCCAAATGATGGATAACATAGAAATGAGTGTGGAGATCAAAAGAGAGCCAATTCACCAAGTATCTGCAGCGACAAAATGAGGAACGTGTACATGGCAGGCAGAGAGGAGAAAATCCGGGGCCATGGCCGGTCATAGCCACTTTTGCTGCAATCTGATATCTCAGTGTGGCACAGGCTTATCAAATGAAAACAGCAATGCTGCTCTCTGAAAACCTGCAGAGACTAACCTCTTTTCCATGACACATGATATGAGGAGTGAGGAGCCCTGCACAGATCCCCACGGGGTAGATGGCTTCCCTGGTGTGTTTCCTGTTGGTCACGGCCTGCTCAGCAGCCTTGCTCATCAGTCTTCAGATGAAGGATGGGAATGGGGAGACCACATGCAGTGCATCAGTGGGAGGCAGCAAGAGTCTGAGACTGAGAGGCACCCATTCTAAATTCTAATACTAGTTCAACCCGGAGCCAGCCTTGTGGCAGGAACACCAACCCAGGCCACAGGCCTTTCACAGAGTATTTTCATCGGCCCTAAAACATGCCTCAGGCTCCCCTGTTCCTGTATCTGCATCCCTCTGGGATGCTGTCCTCTCTCCTCTCTGCTTATGTTAGTCTTATCCAACCTTCTAGATGTACCTGGAATGGTGCCACCTCCTTCCTGAGTATCCCTGTCCTCAATGGTTGCTTCATTCCAGCAACCCCTATGGCTGGACATAAGGTTCCCTGTATGTCACTTAATCTAAATTTGTTGTCCTGCCGTATGCATTGTTAGTACCCTGATGAGAGGCATCGTGTTTTGGTCATTTTGCTATCTTTAGCACCTAGCACAGTGCCTGCAATACAGAAGGTACTCAAGAAACACTAGTTGTTGACAATGCTAACGATAAATTCGAGGCTGGTGCTTCTCCAAGCACAGCCATAATCATGCAGCAACTGTACGCAGGATTTGGCCCATTGCTCCTAAGGGTCTGAACACCTGGGAAGGTCCAACTGAGATGTCTGAAGTCCATTCATTCTCTGCTGGAGACTCTCAGGGCTCTGGAAGGCGCCAAGGGAAACAGAAGCCCAGGCTGCCATTTTGAAGTCTGACACAGGCAGGAAATCAACCTGAGACTAATCTGTGGAGCAAAACTAGTGGTGACCAGGTAACCATCAAGTTTAAGCTTATCAAGTTTATACTTAGAAATAAAGAAATATGGCATTTCTTTGCTTAATACTATACTTGAACCCAGGCAAATACTGTATTGTATACTGTAATTATAACGATTTGGATGTACTCATGTTTAAATCATACCCAGATACCTATGCCAGTATCTGTACCCAAGACTTCTCAACTCCACGTGGGCATCCACTGGATATCTCCAAGGGTCTCAAGTTTATCATGCCCCAAATTAAATTCTTGATCTCACTCCCAGAAACTTGCTCCTCCACCACCCTCTATTTTTTTTTCTTAGCCATCTACATGATGGCTTAAGCCAAAAACTTGGGTTTATACTTGAAACATCCCTCGCCTTCATCGTCGGTATCCAAAACCTATCTACCACTCTACCCCGATCACTGCCTCCAGGGTAGAAGCAACCATCACCGCTCATCCAACCAGAGAGTAGCTAGAAAAACACTCAAGTGAAAATCAGATCAGGTGACACGTCTGCTCAACATCCTTCTTTGGCTTCCCACTACACTTGGGTTAAAACCCAACCTTTCCGCCAAGTCTCTCCTTCCTCTGGCTCTCGCCTACTTCTCAATGGATAGACTCCCTTAATATGGTATGCAAAATTGTGTGTGTGTGTGTGTGTGCGTGTGTGTGTGAATTTAATTATTACAGGAGAGAGTCCACAGCTTTCATCAGATTCCTAAAAGTGTCAGTAACCCAGTTTCCAGCTACAATGGATGAAACTACTGCAGAAGATGGTCAACATGCTTTGAAAGGGAAAGCACTATATAAGTGCAATATGTCAGTTTTATAGCTCAGATGAATCTGGCCTTTACCTGTTTCCGTAAGTGGGAGCCCTAAGGCTAAGCTTATTATAATGGATAAAATTCTCCTGCAATAATGGCAAGAATCTACAGGAGCTGTCAACTAAATCCACACTAAACTGCAAGAGCTGCCCAGTTGAGTGTATCTTGTAGAAAGACCCTTTGCTTCCCAGATAATGAGACAAAGCCAATACAGGGGGATGTTTCCAGCATTCCCTGAAGATGGCATATACTGTCAGACCTTTCTTTGAACACGATCTTCCACCATCTTTCATTGTGTGCTAGGAAACGTCCCCTTCCTTGGGAGGAGGAGGAGGAGAAATTCATTTCCTATCAATTACAGAAACTAGTTGGCCTAAATCCACCCTCTAAGTGTGTTCCATAATAAGTGTTTGAAAGTATCACTGCAAAAAGAAAATGTAACTTAAAAATAACTTTATAGTGGACTTAAGTAAAACAAAACATAACAATAAAACCAAAATTGATCATCCTGAAATAACTGTAGCAAACCTATGGCCTATGACTGTGTTTCATGGAGATAAGGCACCTGAGCAGAAATGAGGAATCCAAAGGCTAAATTTTGGGTTTCATCACATTTTTTCTCATTGTGACTTCTTTTGAAGATGTTCTAATATTTTCATAGTGGTTTCTATCCCCAGAAAAGCCAAGGTGACAAGTGAAAAGATGCTCAACATCACTAGCCATAAGAGAAATGCAAATTAAACCCACAATGAGATACCACATCACACCTATTAGGATGGCTGTTATCAAAAAATGGAAAACAACAAGGGTTGGCAAGGATGTGGAGAAAGTGGAACTTTTGTGCATTGTTGTTGGGAATGTAAAATGCTGCTCTGGAAAACAGTGTGGAGATTCCTCAAAAAGTTAAACATAGAATGACCATATGGTCCAGCAGCCCCACTTCTGGGTATACACCCAAAAGAATTGAAAGCAGGACTCAAACAGACATTTGCACACCTATGTTTATAAGAACATTATCCACAATACCCGAAAGGTGGAAACCACCCAAGTGTCCATTGATGGGTGAATGGATAAACAAAATGCAGTATATACATACAGTGGAATATTATTCAGCCTTAAAAAAGAATGAAATTCTGACACATGCTACAACATGGATGAAACTTGACGACATTATGCTAAGTGAAATAAGCCAGATACAAAAGGACAAATACTGTATGATTCCACTTACATGAGGGACCTAGGAGTAGTCAAATTCACAGAGACAGGAAGTAGAATGATGGTTGCCAGAGGTTGGGGGTAGGGAGGAATGGGAGTTATTGTTTTTTTGTTTTTTTTTAAAGGAAGATTAGCCCTGAGCTAACTGCTGCCAATCCTCCTCTTTTTGCTGAGGAAGACTGGCCCTGAGCTAACACCCATGCCCATCTTCCTCTACTTTATATATGGGACACCACCCACAGCATGGCTTTTGCCAAGCGGTGCCATGTCTGCACCCAGGATCCGAACCGGCGAACCCGGGGCTGCCGAGAAGTGGAACGTGTGCACTTAACCACTGAGCCACCGGGTGGGCCCCCAGGAGTTATTGTTGAATGGAGACAGAGTTTCAGTTTGGGAAGATGAAAAAGTTCTGGAGATGGATGGTGGAAATGGTTGCACAATAATGTGAATGTACTTAATACTGATGAACTGTACCCTTAGAAATGGTTAAAGTGGTAAATTCTGTGTTATGTATATTTCACCACAATAAAAAAAAAGAGAGAGAAAAAGAGAAGCCACGGTAGCCAGCAATACTTACAAGATATAGGCAATCACCCCAATGGACCAGCAGTCAACAGCTTTGCTGTAAGGTTTCTGGGCAAGGACCTCAGGAGCTGTGAAATGATAAAGGAGAGACACAGCCTGACAGGTTAAGTGACTAAGACACAAGACATGTTTTAGATTTTTTCTTCTTCTTCTTTTTCTGTCTCCTACTCAGGCTGAACTTTCTGTGATTCTAAAATTTGAGTAGAGCTATATGACCTGTTGTATTTGTTGCCTTCCTAACTACAAAAAAGTGAGGCCATTTGTGTGTGTGTGTGTGTGTGTGTGTGTGTGTGTAACTGGATTAATCACATCCAATTAATCAAGCAATCAACAAATACTTACTAGGTGGCTATTTCATGTCTATGCTGTGTCAAGCACCGTAACCCAGACCTCACTGAGTCAGAGAAGGACTCAGTTTGGGGTCCGGGGTGTGACTTCACCTCAGATTAATTTGAGGAAGCATTTCTGGCCCCTGGGTAGGTTCTTTCTAGGTGCTGTGGGGACACGAAGGGGCAGCCCCCTCCCTCTGCCTTCACGGAGCTTACAATCACGTAGAGGTCAGACTTAAAATCCGGCCTTTGGGAATCCTTCCTGCGTGAGGCCTGCTCTTACTTCACCCTCTAGGGTTTTAGGTGTGTTATCTGTCAGTCCTGTCATTTCATTTTCTCATCTGGGAAGCAAAAAAAAAAAATGCTACTTAATCTCACTTCCTTCGTTCTAATCCACTATTCATCACGAGTCATCCATCCCGGGGGTTTGGGCTCATTTTGCTCTATTCCCACGCTTCCTCTTCCTGGCCCTGCGGCTACCGCTCACTGTGTTGGGTACCCACCCAGTGTCTGGCAACCAGCAGTGCCTGCCGTACATATCTGCGCAAAGAATAAATAAATATAAGAAAAGACAGGAAATCTTTTTCTCAAGCAAAATCTCCTTTTTACCCAAATATATCTGTTTTAGGTGTCTTTAGCATAGACATTCCAGGAAAATTAAGAGGCAGAGAAGCTAAAAATAGCTGCAGCTTACAAGGCATTCGTTCTATGCTGAATTTTGGGGTCCATGGCTTTGGGATGCATTAACTCGCTTACTCCAACCGTCCTTGGGGGGAAGAGCTGAATTATCATTACCATCATTATTCGTGAGTTACAGGTGAGGGCACAGAGGGACTGAGAGGTCAAGGAACTCGCCCAAAGTGACCCAGCTGGAAAGTAGCCTCTACACCAACTTCCTCTCAGAAGGACTTAACCCGAATTAAGTGCCTACCATGATCCGGGTCTTATATCAGTCATTCATAAAGGTTTCAGCTGCCATCCTTTCAACAACTCTGACAATCATCCTTATCTGCACCGGACAGATAAGGAAAACGAGCCTCCGAGAAGTTCCTTTTCTGACGCCACCAGGTGATATGCACCAGTTGGGATTTGAACCCAGGTCTGTCACAGCCTTGTCTGGCTCTTTCCGCTGGAATATACTGACGGTTAAGGAGAGAGTTTCCTCAGTCTGTAAGAAAAGTCCCTTTGCAGAAGAACTAACAGGGAAACCCTCTCTTTCATTCTGTTGCCGATAGCTCTTCCTGAGCAAGAATAAGGAAGTATACAAACTATCGTTGAATGTTTCTGGTTATGATGGTAAGAAACCCACAGATCATCCCCAAATCTAATTTTAGCTTCCAGCCCCGATTCCCCCAAACTTCCAAACAGGCTTTTTTTTTTTAACAAGAGCAAAATCAATAAATTTGTACATCGTTTCTTTGCTATGTTCACTCTCAATGCAGTAGCGGTGAGAGACAGAACTACAGAGCTAGGAAACTCCCAAATTTGAGAAGCGGCCTTTGGATGATGAGGAGCTGGCTGCATCCATGCTTCCTTTTCCCCATAAGTGCTAAGAGCATATCTCTCAGACGCTTACATTATGGCAACTGACAGAAGGGAGCCATTTGCCACAGTGGATGTCTTGCTGATTTAGGAGGTATGCTCTCTCTGAGCTGAAGTTCTGATCTGAGTGGCCACACGGGCACAGATGGTGGGAGGTGGCTGCATCTGCAAGGAGCTTATTTCTGAGCCTCCGGGGCCAGCCTCGTGGCCTGATGGAAAGTTCAAAAGAGGCAGAGAAGGCTCACGGAGCAACGTCTGACCCAGCTTCACCTCCTGGCAGAGCCGACAGCAGATGTCATGAACACAGAGCCAAGCTGACGGGCAGAGGCCCTGGCTTCTTCGGTGTCATGGGGTCTGCAGGGCTCCTTCGGGAGACAGTGAGCCAGCCTGGCCCAGCCACTCCAAGGAACCAGATGTCAAACAGTGGCGCAGAGGCATGGGGAGGTCAGCGCAGGATTTAGAGCGCAAACTCATGTCACGCACACCAGGTGCGACACGGAGACAGACACGCGGGGAAGGAAGCTGTCAGCACCTCCGACAGCTGATTCCATAACTGGGCCCAGTCCCTGAGGCAGGAGGTGCAGAGGGGAAGACACAGCCCCTACACAGCAGCTTCCACTCCTAGAAGAGCGAACACCCGGTGCTCCCTTGAGCTCTCCACCCTCACATTTCTCCAGCACTGTGGACGTGGGAGGGAAGAATCTTTAAGAGAACAGCCTCCCCTCCTCCTCATCATAATCTGTGAGAATGAGGACAGTACTGGCCCCCGTCCACTGTTACTTGAGACGTTTAGATTCTCGAGGCCACAGACAACACTTAGATCATTTTTAAAAGATGAGATTTTGTTTCAATGGTAACCGTTCTAACATCAAGTATGTGGATTTTTAAAAAAGATTTCTGGTTTGGGTCAGTAGCATGGATGTTAGGGGAAAAGTTCTAAATGATTAACTAAAGTAAATACCAGGATAACAACATTGGGAGCGGAAGTCTACCTTCTTGTGCCAAACATTTTTTGTTGTTTTTGGTGGTGTGTCTTATCTGGGTTGTATCAAGAACAACAAAATATAAATATTTTTTTTTAACCAATTGGAGGCAGGTAAATCATTTGCCTTCTGGTGAGGTTCTTAATTACACTTGAAACAAACGCAGGAGACACCAGCAGTGTAATGTCATGATAAAAAAGACGAAGCAAATGGATTTGGAAATAATATTCTCACCAACTTAAAATATTTAAAAAATTATATAATGGCACACAGACTAATGATCTAAATTCTAAATTTCACTAGTGACGTGATTCCTGGAACCAAATATTCTCTGGGACATTGTTTGAACAAGCCTACCTACATTGTTTTAAATAGCTACTTTTCTTTTCATGGTAATTCTTGAAAAAAATTCTCAGGCATTGTTCAAAACCCTCTTGACAATTTGATATGGCGATCAAACCATGATGAACCCCTGAGAAGAGCTGGGATACTTTCTCTCCTGCTCTCTTTCTGTGTTGAAGGAGAATCCCCCTGGTTCTGGACCATCTCCTGCCATTTTCTTGATCCCTGTTAGCCGTGGTTTAGCATGTAGCCCTGGGAGCGTCTGCTCCTCACGCCGATCTTTTTAGAGACCAGTTTTCACTTTGAGAACCAGCCAAACTCCCTAGCATTACGTTATCCATCTTATACCACTGGCAAGAATTCCACTGCAATTCTACAAACTCGCAGCATCCAATTTACAAACTTTCAGACAAAAAATGAGCCTCCAGGCTGAGGAGGTGCAGAACAGAGTACATCCAGAGCCTTGGAAAGTGATAAGGGTTCTCTGAGCCACCACAATTCCATCTCCCCCCAACACTGCCTGAAGATGCCAAAGAACTTCATAATCAAGGAGCAGTAATTTTCCCTCTTAATTGCACCCAGCACAATTCATGTTTAGTAGGAGGTTGGCAGTGACTCTCGCCATCCCTGCACCTAACAGAGGGAGGCTTTGAATTAAAATAACTTAATTGGAGCTATTGACGAAGAGAGCAGTCATTAAAAGGCACTGTGGCTTGTTTGTGATGCCATCAGCCCCCAGGCAAAGCAGGAAAGGGCTTCATCTCCTGGCACAGCTACGCCAGAAGGAAAATCTACTCAAGTGGAGAGAGCACACACATTCCTCCAGAGCATTTGAAGGCACAGTCCCTGGGGCTGTCAGTGGCCATCACTGGCAGTACAGAGACCCATCCACCTGGAGGTGTTGAAAAGGACTTATGCAAGATAGGCAGCAGGTCCAGCCTTCTGACTGTCCCTTGGGCTTGGCCAAAGCCTGCCTTGTAGAGGTGGAGAGAGTAGGGGTGGGGTGGGGGCAGCTCTAACTGGGTGACATGTATTGGGCATGACAGGTGGGGTCACCAAAATCCTATGACACAATAGCCTCCTGTATGCACCTACCCTACGTTATGCATCCCTGCACTGCTGTGTGAATCACACTGTCATACTTCATGCTGCTGGAGAACAGGGACATCTCTCTGGTCTGTATTTTCAGGGCTTAGCACGTTCTGGTCGGTCAACGAATGATTATTCAACTGAGCCAAACCTACTCAATACACACACCATTACTTCTGCACGAAAACGTTTCCCAAACTCTATATAACTGATTTACAAATAAACTTAGCTGCCTCTAATGTTTCTGGTGAGTAGGTACAGGAAAAAAAAAGAATAAAAAGAGAGAGAGTGACAAATTGTGGAATGCAAGCAACTGTCAATGGGGAAGTATGAGGCACAAGTAAGATCAATGGATAAACACTTGTCTTTAAGCAAATGATTCCTGACATGAATTCTGGGGATAAAAGAGGCAGAATTAGCCCCAATTCTCTGCGTGTGGATGTTTTTCATGCTGCTCTCCTTTTAAAAGCTTTTCTCAAAGGGATTTCAGAAATACTAGTTTTAGGGCTAAAGGACAGAAAAGATGCTCTGTGAAATGATCTCTCAGAACCTCCTTGGTTCAGATCTTGGGAGTCAACAATTCAGTTTCCTTGGCTATTCCTGATAGAAACAGTATCCCGTTGGCTTGTTCAGTTTACACTAGTAAACAGAAGTTAATCTTCAAGTAAACCATGCAACCTCGGCAGAGCATCTCATGAGCTACTGGAGACATCCGTGGACAGATCCGGTCCTCCTTTGAGCCCAGGCTTAACTCATGTTCCTTAGTGAAACAGTAGATCTAAA